ATATCTTTTAAGTAAGGTGAAAATTTACAATAAACAACACTCTTCCAAGAGAGCAAACCCAGAAAGGCTAAACTTGAAATTCCCACTTGCTGAGGTTCTTAGGCAAATGGAAGAGTAATCGGTCTTTTCTACACGAGCCTTTCAGAGAAAGGCTCAGTCTCCGGCTATAAAGAAAGAGAAAACGGTGCGTCGCACAGTGTTAGGTACAATGTTTTATATCCTTTTGGGGGAAGGGATATCAAATAAAAAATTAAAACTGCAAAACACAGAACAGCTCGTTCCACGAGCAAAGAAATCAATTCCTTACCGACTTTGTGAAGTTTTACATCCTCCGCCAACAGGAGAGAAAACTGCCGAACTCAAACTGCAGCATTTCCCGGTGAGGGCACAAATTGAAACTCTCATTTATCAAGCTACTGAAATTTCAGAAAACTTTCAGTGAGCTAACATCTTTGACACCTCTACCTTTCTGTCAAATGGATGAAGTTTTCCCTAACTTCTCAACCTTCTGACCAAACTAATGAGACTCCGAAACCGCAAACCCCAATTTCCTTTGGGAACAAAGCTAAATTCCTAGAAAAGTGCTAAGTAAACGTGGTATAAAGCATTAATTTTAAATCCTCTTCCTCCTCCAAATAAAAACAAACAAACAAACAAAAAAACCCCAATCCAAACCCTCAAATCCCAACAACTTTATCTAATTTTAGTTTTACTGAACCTGGGCTAACGTGCCTGAAGTCTCTCTGTGAACCATTAGCATTAACGTACTTGGCTCCAAAGGATGCAACTTAGGAGGATGGGAGAACAAAAAAGAAAAACAAACAACCTGAATTTTCACTGCCTCACAGGTATGTTTTATATGTAGTTTTGCACCCTGTTTTTCTGGTTGCCTATTCTGCATAACAGGGGAGAACATTTCTCAAGCAAGTTAGTGCCACAGTGATATTATTATACCCATTTTCTCCTTTATTCTGCTGAGCAGCCTGAACGCTGACATGAACAGCTCTAAGTGACAGCTTTAAAATCGGAAAGTCTTCCGTATTAACACGAATAAAGACACCTTAATGGATTAATTAAGCCACAAGGTATACACTTTTACACACAGTATCATCTTTTACTCCATACTGAAGATCAGAGTAAAAGATAGAAAAAAACAAAAACTAAAACAACAAAAAACACACCCACCCCCACCTCCACATATAACCAAGTCAGTTCATTTCAACAGCGCGGTGAGAACTGCTTTAGCTGCCAAAGTTTCCTATTATAAAATTAGATCCGTTCCTATAGATTTTATAAAGGACCTCTCCAGTGAAATTAACTATATATTAGCCATTAAGAAGTAATATTAGTTTATGTACTTCATTAAAATACTATTAACTTACTATCCACAAATATTTTGTCATCATCGTTATTTCTGTAGCTCTTGGAATAATTTCCTTTAATTAAGCCCTATTCTTATGAATGTTTGATCTACTTGGAGAAGGTCTAGAGTTGTACTGTTATAAGAAACCAAAGCCGGGATTTCCCTAGCCTCCTCTTAGCTCCTTCTGATATCATCTCATTGGTTAGCTGGACAAATGGGTATCCAAATCAATGGTCATGTTGATACACCACATTAAAATGGATAAAATCTGTACATCATCCATACTTTCCTGAGACAGCAAGTAGCATTAACTTGGGTCTGTATTCTGTGTAACTATTAAGTCTCACAAAAGTTCCAGGAAACCAATGTCCTCAGCTTCTGCCTCTCCGATGCCTCCGTTTGCAACAAAACAACTGCATAAAGCATTGTTTTCTTCAAAACCTAGGCTAAAAAAAAAAAAAATCCTTTTTCTAAATAAGAATCTGTAACAGATGCTTTTGATCATAAACATTAAATTCATCATTTACATTTATAAGATTCAAACATGTCTAAATATCTTCCAGTTTTGGGAAAAGGTAAATTCCTGCTTTGAGGATAATCCATACTTACTACAATACATGTGAAGAAAAAAAAAAACACCCCAAACAGGTAACACAAGTGCTCAATAAAAATATTTCCCTTCACATCTTTGCTACAAATGTAAAGAGTACATGTCAGGTGGCTCTCCAGGGAAGGAGGGGAAGTCACTCTTGCATCCAAACTGGAGAATAATATTTAAGCCATTTGAGGAACTTTTCTCCCACATTTTTTTTTAAAGAGGAAACTTATGATTTACATTAAGTAATTGAACTAAACTGCCAGTTAAGTATATAGCTTAAAGACATTATCTTAGTATAAATTAATCCAGGATACTTAAAGCAAGAACAAATTGGAGGGAGGGGAGAGGAAGGAGGGGAAAGGGGGAATAAAGACTTATGACACAGCCACTGGAATTGTAACAGAATCAGAGGATAAATAGATATTTCTGTTTTATCGGAACAAAAGAAAAGTCCAAGACAGTGAAAAGGAAAAAAACATTTTTAATGTAGATTATAACTTGTGAAATTCATTGCCCAGAGTTTGTCCTAAATAATATATTAACAAATTCAAACAATAATTAGGCATTATATAGAAGAGTAACCCCCAAATTGTGAAAGCTGTACAGAATGGTATACTAAAGCCCTAATTTCTAAGCCAACTACCAACTCACAGAGAGACAGAAAGAAAAGCAACAACAACAAAACTTCATAATTAACACCCCTATGTCCAAAAACAATAAAAACAATACTAAGTATATTTTTAATGGCTGCTTGGACTCCATTACAATTAGAATTGTGAATGTCCTCAAAGCTAAATCATTGCAACTGTGCTGGAAAACCACATTTCACATAGATACACAACAAGGACAGCAAAAAAGAACGCTAGACGCTTGGTCAAGCTAGTGAAGGTATGTCCCCAAGCTTTCCAAACCAAGATAACCCCTGCCAAATACGAGCACTTCTTGATCAACACCCTCATACTTCTACTGGAAAAACTGCTCCTTATTAATATAGTTTAATGGAAGTAGCAGCACACCACTTACCAACATCTCTTGGAAGAGTCTGAAAGCACACAGAAACCATTAAGTTCATTTTTCCTTAAAACCCACACATAATCAACTCAAATCTGCTACTTCATTCTCCATAGAACTTAGCAAAAGTACATCTCAGGCTAAATGTACATGCCTGAAAGAGAGGCTTGTAACATCACCACAGGAGGAAGATAGTTGTTTCAGAATAGGTGACTGAAAGAAAAATGTTCCATAAAGGCAGCCTAAGAAAAATGCTATCAGAATTTAACCTCAAAAGTATGAGTCCAGGAGCCTTCACTGACAGTGTCTACCATAGCGCTGTGCAAGTCATGCTATGACTTGCATAGCATGACTAGCGCTCATGCTAGGGAATCCCAGGCCATTTAGAATCTTACAAAATAAAAATATTTTAAATTCACTGAAAGGCAATTGTCAAACTGAAAGACAAATTGTCAAGATGTAGTGCGCTTCCAGTAAGAAACTGGTGATTAAGATGACAGACAAATTCTGCCCTAAGATATATTAAAGTGACAGAAGTTCAGACTACATTATCAGTAGTTGTATCTGAAAGCGAAGGAAGTATATATTCCCCAGGACAAATGTATTGTGGCCATAGCTGCTTGATGTAAGAAAATTACACAGGCACATAACACACAAGTTATGAACTTATGGGTGGTTAAAACTTCACACACAGAACAAACGCTTATGTTGGACACTGAACCCCTCATCATGCGTTTAATTTTATCTAAATTAAATCTCAGTAAGCTTATTTTCTTTCATACCTTCCTCAGACAGAGCCAGATATTCCAAAAAGAGCAACCAAATAGCAAAAAAAAAAAAAAAAACAAAAAAAAAAAACAGAAGAAAAACAAGCTATCAACATACAGGAAAAGCCATGACCCCTTTTTTCCTCATTAACTGCCCTTTTTTTGGAACACGGTTGACATATATGGCTATATGCAGTCCTGCAGAAGTTCTCATGCAAATAAATTCTACATCAGTAAACACTTAGGGGGCTGACTTAGGCAACAAGCAATCTTCAGTATAAGTGAGGAGGCTATATTCAAGTCATACTGTAAATCCTTAGACTCTTTTCTGAAGAAGCTTTAAGGTCTCTATAATTTGAAGCAGGACCTTAACATTTGAGTTCATGTTTATGTTAAAGATGTGCCGTCTTCTTATTCCCTTGAAAATTCACCCCAAGCTATAAAGTCTTGGGAAAAAATGTCATGTCACACATGCTCAAGAGGTTTGTGTGGGCTTAGCAGTTAACTGCTCCAAATATTGCTCTCTGTTCTCAGAGTATCCAGCCAACAACGACAAGGACTGAGGCCCCAGCTCACCGCTACTCCGGGCAACTGGCGTGCGGCGAGAGCAGAAAGACTCTCTTCTAGCTTCAGAGTCTCTTGCTCCTGAGTAGACTTCAGTGGATTTAGCATGACAGATAAAATAAACTATGCACAGTTGGCCAAAATCGGGATAGTGAGCTAGGAGAAATGATACAGGTCTAAACAGTTTACATAACTTGTTCCAATAGGATCCTCACTTTCCATCCTGTGTACTATATAAGGTCTGAATCCCTACCCCAGCTCTAACTACAGAGTTAAATCAATCACTCATGGGTACTGAATGTGATCATATAAGTGTCAAGCTTGTAAGGTGATCTTAATTCTAATCTCCTTAAATTTTTTTTTTCAAATTTTCAGTTCTTTTCTCCCAATTTTATATATGCCTGTTCCAAAAATGATTCATGAAAAGAAAGTGTTTAGAAGATTTCATTTTGCCAACTTAAACCATAATTCTGCTGCTTACAGGCATAACAATTTCTATCTTAAAAAGAAGAGGAATCGACACTGCCAACAGCATTTAAAAGTGTTTTCTTTTCTTTTTCTTTTTTTTGCAAATGCGCAAATGTATTGAAATCTTATAAAAAGGGATCAACTAAACTTAAGATAAATTAATACAGCTAAAGAAGCAAATGTGAATTAAAAAAAAATTTCAAAATGTTCCAATTGTTAAATCACTTACCATATGTACTACTTCTGGGTATATAGGTTCTGTAATCACATTGCGATTGTGTGTGATATATTCTACCATTTCACTTAAAGCTGCTCGTTTTACTTCCTTCCACTTTAGGTCACTTAGCGGATCAGAAACAAAGTCAAAAAGAACACAACATTGTCGCAACTTCTGGATAAAAAGCTTTTCTTGATCAGCAGGAGGAACATCTGAAAAGTGAAAATATTTGGTTATAAATGATATTGTAATGGACTTTACTCTTGTCCCCATTTTTATTTCCCCAAACACTGAAGTAACAGCAGTTAAGACTACAAGCAAACATTCTGAATCTTCAAACAACTTTCAGGAATCCAGCGGTCCAGAGTATGAGCCCCAGGACACCACACTGCGTGACAGGGTGAATCAGCGCTGCAGCAGTGATGCGTACTTGCCTTTCCTAGAAATAGTTACCGCATGGAGGAAAAGAAAACCCCAATACTGGAATAACCGTCTATCAAGGAATTCCCAAAAGAACTCATTTTGTGGACTACATCGGCAGAAATACTCTCTTCTAACTATTAGAGATAAACGGGTGGATCTTCAGTTTCTTTAGTAGATGTAACCAGTCTCACTTTACTTCAGGAGCTATCACCTCCCAAATCTCCCTGCCTGTTTTTCAGCAAGCATCACTACTGCAGTAATCACATCCAGGAAAAAGGGGGTTCACAAGTTTTTGAGAAACTTCATTAACACAAGAAACATTTAAACAAGTGGGAGAAGACAGGCTAAGGATCTGCAATTATTTGGTCGATTTGTAAGAATAATGACTATTTTGAATGTTTGCTTTGCATGTGCAAGACTTAACATTATCAATCTTTTTAACGTAAGCTTCTGTTAGTTCTGTTAATTATGGCCAGGACTGCAAGATTAAACAATATTGGTGCTCTAGAAAAGATCACACTTGATTACTGAGTACAAATCATGAACTGAAATACACATTCAGAAATAACATTTTGAACTCTCACCAAGGTGGGTATAAGATATGAAAAAAAGGTTAACGATAAATTTAAAAACAAACCTAGTAAACACCTGGGTTGATATTTACCCACTATTTAATCATCATTCAAGTGCAACTGGTAAGAACACATTAATTAATAGAAACTATAATGTTTCTGCCCCTTTATTTTCCTTTTAAAACTCCCAGTCCCTCTTCTGTTAATCATCATAACTCTTTTTCTCTGAAGCATCTTTGACCGTATGCCAGTCGCTATCCACTTTTAACATTTTTGAATAGGTAAGCTGGTGCTTTGTCAAACTGCTCCCCAAGTTTAGAGCATCTCTTATCCTCCTTGAAGACAAAGGAGGGAGTCTTTAGGCGGTGCTTTGTACAGTGATATTTTTAGCATCTGACAAGGATACCTAGTTTCTCTGAAGAGTTTAAGTTACTACCTCCCTATTTTTGCTTCCTCTGCCTCACGCCTTAATCCTCCCTGCTGATCCTGAGCAATTAAATATTTAGTGCTTGCATGTAAAGTGAAATTAGACTGCACGGTTCAAACATGATGCAGAGAATTGCTAAGCACATAGCTAGCACTACTGTTACCATAAGCGTTTCTAAAATATTGAATCTTCAGAAGATTAAGTATATACCAACAGGTACTCCATAATTTTAATTTGAAACTAAAGGATTTAAGGTAAGCCTAAATCACTTTGGAGTCCATGTAAAGGCATAGGACCTTAGTTTAAGGTTACTGTTAGGAAAAAAAAAAACGCTAGACTATTGTTTATAAATATTCATAAAAATGTATCAAATTGTCAACCTATTTAATGGCTAACACTGAAACAATTATAAAACAAAAATTTATGCTTTTTAAATTGCTCAGTGCTTTAGCCTTGATGCCACAAAATTCTGTATATACCTTTTTCTTTTTCCTTTTTTTCCCATTTGCTCAGGTAATTCCATAAGTAGTTACACTACATAATATACCACAAAAGTATCCTGGAGCAGGACTTTTAACTTTCAATACTTTGGGTTGTACTTACCGCACAAGACACTGAAGGAAGTGGCCAGAGATAAACAAAGCAGCATCATACTTTGTCAGCAGCAATAATTTATGCTCAATTGAAATGGCCACATAACCACAAAATAAAGTCTAGGACAAGAGAAGTGAATACACCACAAAGTCTGCCACAAATTAGAGTTGTAATAACATAATTTGTTTTTGCATAATGACGTTTTTATTGTTAGATATGAACCGCAAGGGCATTAACGGCATGTTAGAAACAAAGCAAGTCTAGACTGTTTTTCCAAATACTTCCACAGTTTGCCTCTGCTTCTTCCAAATGATAGCTTTTCTTTTTCCTTAAGAGTACCATAAAATGCTAAAGTTTTCTTAAAAACAAGCAGCAAGAGCTATCATCACTACAATATATTTCAAACAGTACTACTGAGTACATATAACATATAACCCGATTCATACACATCTACATGCAGTCCAATAAATTGAACATTCTGACAGCTTTCTACAGTCCAGCTGAGTAGTTAATACAGTGAGCAGCTCTCCTTTTAGTGCCTGACAAACTTAAGATAGTAGAAACCGGAGGGTTTTCTTTTCCCAGAAGAAGGTGCTTTCAAAAGTATTTCTGCTATAATAAACCTGGATTACATATTTGGTTTAAAACGGTTAGCAAATAGGTTAAAAACAAACAAAAAAACACCAACAAAAAAGCCCCAACCACATACACAGAGCTACGCACACTGAATTGCTCCACAGACTAATTCCAGAAAAAACTGTAAAGCAACAGACCCGAAGAACATCATAACTAACACCCAGCATACAGGAAAGCAACCATAACCAGCTACAGACCTCAGTGTCTCCTGCACAACACTGATAGGAAAGAGCTCTATACCTAAATGACAGGTGTCCTTAACCAGAGCAACAACTGTCTAGCAAATATAACAAAATTCCAGTATTATGAACAATCTGAAAGTACTTTATCCACACGGACATAAATTTTGTATCTAAATGTACAAACATTGTCTATTTTGATTTAAAACAATACAAAGGAATGATTTTTCCTGGAAAGATTATTTAACTGAGTAGTCTGCATAGTGAAAGCCAGATATATTTATGGCCTATATTTAAAAGCTCTTGTATGCACAAAGTGGTTAAAATGGTTACCTTTTTCCAATTAATTGTAAAACAGAGAGTGGCTCAGCCTGAAGCATAACGCAATTTCACATAGGGATATTGTGTTCTGAGTGTACGCTACAAAATTCAAAGGGTAAATAGAGACCGTAATCATACACGTAATGGACATATGCTTATTACAATGATTTACAATACACTAACATGAAAGGAGAGGAAGCATTAAATTATTACTAACCTTTGAAGTCACAGAATGACAACTAAGAGGGTCAGGCAACACTCTCACAAGGCAAGCCACCTGCCTGACCATTTGTTTTGAATTGGCTTAAATTTTTAAATAACTTCAGTCCTCGTGCATGACTATTCCATACTAAGTGTAGAGAGACAGACGTTCTTTCTGCAGACTGAGAACCTCATGTATTTTTGAGGATTCCCCCCCCCCCCGCCCCCCAAGAACGTTCATCAACAGCTTTCAAGTGTCCAGACCTCATATCTTTTGTAATACTCATCTGGTAATTGCTATCAAACCAAGATCATCTCTACTTTTAAGGCTTGAAGGGATGATTTTAGCACAGCAGAAAACAGAGAAAGTAGCTAAGAAGTTGACTTGATTAGATCATATTTTTGTGCAGAAAACTTATGCAAACCGGCAAAATAATTCTGAGATGCTACAAAAAGTCATTTATCCTTAGCCACATGCTGAGGACTATCTGACTATGTTCTTTCAGTTACTGTATGGCAACTGTCTCTTCTACATCACGTTTTTTTCAATTAATTGATAGCCACCGACTTCTGATTGCTCAACTGCCATATTTGAACAGAGTGGCATCAAGTAAAACTTTCACTGGGAAACTCTGGTGTTTGATTTCTCAAAGACTGAGAAGACGGTGGTTATTCAAAAGCTACTCCTTACAATTACTCTTAAAACCAATATTTGGAGTTATTCACCGAGAATTATTTAAAGAAATTCCATTTGCTAGCCACTGTTTGCATTAGGTGTTATTGAATACTTGCAGAATTCGTTTCTAAACGGTAGCACTATCATCATCTTGAGGCTGTCTATCAATTCCACACACCTATCCTTGTCAGTAAGGATACTTTAACAACAGTACTATTTCTGGGCTTCCTCTAGAATAGAAAGTTTTTCAAAAATCAAGAACTCCATCAGTCTCATGTTTGGATCCGATGTCTAATAATTCTTAACGCAGGTTTACATAAACAAATACTATAATGCCAGATTTTATGCCTAAACCTGCACTATTCATCCTACTGTGAGACAGTTTCTAACACACTAGAAAATACCTACGTATTTTTGATATACTATGATTGCAAGGTTACCCTCTGGGCTTGAGTGGATCAGTATTTTTTCTTGCTGAAGTATTTTAAAGTTTCCCTTCTTCCAAGCCTGGAAGAACTCTGTTCAATAACTAAACAGAAACAACCTACAGAGATGCTTGCTCTACGCTTTCTATCTTAACGTATTTATTCAGAAGTAACAATTCAGTTTAAAATTCCTAACGCCAACTTGCACTGTGGCCTTGCCAGACAGACTTGCTGATGAGTATAAAGCAACTGATACTTGCCATGCTTTTATCTTCGTGCTATATATACACCAATATCTTATCCCCCAAAACACAGCACCTTCAGTTGGCATTCCAATTTGAAAAAGCCAGAGAAAGACTAGGTACTCAGTGCACAGGACTAAAGGTAAATTAACTGCAAAGTAACTGTGCATAGTGATAGCAGATCCTCCTTCCTCATCTCCCAGCCAGTACGTGACATCATTCTGCACACAGGAGCTACAGACTAACTGTATTAACTGCTATGACTTTCTCAGAAACCATGGTTTTAAGTTACCTTGTATAAATATAATTAGAAAGGGAAAATGAAGCATAAAAATAAAGCAAAATATTTAAATTTAGGTTTTAAGTGCCTCAGCGTTAAGTGCAGTATGTGTATGATATGTGAATATTTTTGCAGTATAAGACCGCAGAGCACTTACTGTTCTCTGGATAATGTTTTTTATGTTCCTTCAAATTAAAACCAAACCAAACCACACCACATAACCATGTTTAGGTTTG